GAATATGAAGAAAGCATAGGGAAGAATCCAAGAGGTGAAAAGCGATAGTTCCCTTTCTAAAAAAATACTTTTAAATTTGAAATAACTTCAATCTTACAGAACAGCTGCAAGAATAGTACAAAATTAGTCCCATACATTCACCCAGAACTACCAGGCGTAAGCACTTTGCACACGTGCTTTATCATGCTCTGCGAGAGAGATTCTGGCATATGTTATTTTATCTCTAGGATCCAGCCATGCCTGAAACTGGGATCCACTCCTGTGGATTTGTGCCATCTTTCTCTTGGGAGAGCAAGTCTTGAAGGATCTTCATCCTTTCAAGAGAAAAAAGTGACAAAAACTCTCTTCGCAGAAGGAAAAGAATGAATATTTTCAATTTAGCGCAGAGCCAAAAGATGAAAAATGTATTCGTTTTGAAGGTAGCTCAGATAACTTGGGAATAAATGGAGCCCTTTTCACTGAGTGGTTCTCATTCCTGGGAGTCTCCATCCACTTTTGTGTTGTTTTCAGTTTTATGTAGGGCCCGTGTCTGATAATTTATTGATAATATGAAAGTATTATTTACTCAAACACATGAGATCGATTGAAGGTTAGTCCTACGGTGTTTCTCTTTGGGCCAGGCCTTATCCTAAGAATTCTCAAACACCTTCTTGAGTAGGAGAGAAAGGAATTCAATGACAGCCCACTTAATCTGCCATAGTTCATAGCAACCTACCTTACATACGTATTGTAATAAGTTGCGAAATTTATAAGTTATTATGATGCCTTACGTCTTTGCAGTCATTTTGGGGTTTCTTCAAAATGTACATTTATGAGCTGTGCTTTGTAAGGGCATAACATCCATTGTGTGTATCATAATGGGGGAAAAAAATGTTGGGAAACAGGTTTTAATAAACGCTTGTCAGGGCTGCCTTAACCCTTTGTGTCCATGAGAACTAATTTGAAAGTGACACTCCAAACTAGCTTAAGCCAAAATGGAAATTCGTTGACTTTTCCAGGGTTAGAACTGACGTCGGATGTGCCGGAATCAGACGTGCACCACCTTCACAGAGACATAGTGGCAAGACGGCCGTCAGCACCTCTGCTGGGCATCCTCTGAGGCTCAAGTCCAGGGAGAGACAGGGAGCCTCTTTCCTGAGTGCTCCCTCAGGAGTGTGCCGGGATTCACTCTGAGCGATCTATCCTGGAATCAGGCCATCGCTGTTGCCAGCAGGACACTGCCGATTGCGTTAGACCTGGGTCACGTGCTCCACCTCTGGACTCGGGGTCATGAAGGCCCAGTCAGACCCCACGGGTAGAGAGGTGGACACCTCCAAACCAAAATGGACCTGTTACAGAGAGGAGATGCTAGAAAGGCAACCAACAAATATCCGCTCCACCCCAAGGGATTACTTTGAAAATTCCCCGGAAAGGGCCAGATGAAAGGAAATGTCTGGCTGGAGGGCCAACCCAGCCTCAAGAGCAGGAAAGAAAATAACCCCATGATCTCTTGAGAAAATAGATCACGTTATGACAAGGTATCACATGTGGTAAGAAGTCGCTTCTAATTCAAAGAGCCATGGAAATGCGTTCATTCTCTTTGCTAGACGGCTTCTCAGAAAGCGAGCGTCAGAATGCCCCATCCTCCATGCCTCCCCTGAATGACTGGTCTTGCCACATCACTTCCTCATCATCCTTTAGTTCGGTCTCACCATCATCCCCTTCCTTCAGGCATGCTTTGCTTGACCACAGGTTTCCCTTCTGTGTTGAACAAAACATCTGACTTTCTTGTAGTATGATTTAGGAATGCATTCTGTAGTATAATAGAAAACCCTACTGTATTGTTTAAACAGATGCGGGGGGGAGGGGTGTGTTTGTCTTCCACAATAGGAAGCCCTGGAAAGGAGGCAGTCGAGAGCTGATATGGTGACTCAACAGTGCTATCAGGAACACAGGCTATTTATACATTTTCCAGCCTCCATCCTTAGCAAATGCATCTCTATTCTCAGGCTAGTGACTCCTGTTGCAAGATGGCTGTGGTCCCTCCAGGCTGTATACACGACTTGGTCAAAAAGAAGGGAGAGAGGGCAAGGCTCTTTTTTTTTTTTTAATGTGACGCCTCACCTCTTTATGTGAGAAGTGTTAAATGATAAAGTTTTAAAAGAATAAAAACATGACTCTTATTTAATTATAAAATAAACATGTCGAAGATTTTACTTCACTCATGAATTAATACGGGAATCAATACAATGTTAAAACCAATTCAAAGGAGAACTTTAGAACACACACACATAGGCAATTATACATGCATACGTGGGCAATCAGGAGTGCTGAAATTCATTTACAAGTAGATGAAAAAGCTATCAACAGAAATAACTGCAGCTCCTCCAGACAAAAGGGATGCTGGGAAATTCAGTATCTTAAACTAGACTCATCCTATCTCAAGTGAAATAGGATTGTTAGGAAGGAAGTCTGCCTCACCTGTACACTCACTTGATATGTCAAAGACAGTAGATTATTCAATAATTTTTAGCACATGTGAGTATGAGGATGGCCGTGGATGTCTACTGGTTTTGACACGTCACCATCACTCCCTCTTCTGGTCATAGTGCCTCAAGTCTCCTTTGGGATATACCTGATCCCCACTCTCCAAACCCAGCTCCAAAGGTGGACACTCAACTCAGGGCTTGTCTAGTTATGGTGATTGATTTAGGGATGGACACGACTGGAGTCAGGCCAAAGAGATTCAACTTTTGGACATTCGTTGGAACAAAACTGTGACTTACACTAGAAAATAGTAATACTTAAGTCTGAAAGATACCTAGTCCATTTCCTGACAATGCTCAATGCGTAGGAGGATTCTGTATCCTTTGGAATAATCCCACTGCCTTTCAAAGCCTGTGGCTTCCTGGTGAGAAACCACCACAATGTTTCTTTATTTAATATGTTGTTCCTCTTTTTAGCACCTGAGAGCTGACAGGCTGTGGAGGGCACTAGGAAATACAAATCTGGGTTTGAATGCCAGCTGCATCAGGCAGAGTCCACCCAGAAAGCAGAATCCCATCTAAGTATGTAAAGCAGAGGAGCATTTCATTCAGGGGATTGTTTATACAGGGAATGGAACTGTTGAAAAACTAAACAGAGGTGATCGAGGCAACTCAGACATTAGCGGCATCGAGAAGCCATCAGCACCCCCAGGCTAGAGACCAGATCCAGGGAGGAGGCTGTGATCCCCGACCATGGCAGACAGAGAAACAGCTGCTGCCAGAGATGCTGCTCAAGAGGGCGAGGGGAGAAGATGGGAAGAAAGCTGTTGCCGTTGGCCGAACCTAGCTAGAAGCTTGGGAACAAGGAAGCCTGGGAATACAGTCTATAGGAATCAGCTGTCAGCTCCCCCTTCCCTACAAAGCGGAGCAGGAAAAGGGTGAGGAATAGAACTGAAGACATTGGGTCCACTATGCAGGGCTGGCCGCTTCCCCATACTTCATCACATCTAAGGGGACATTGATTGTAAGATGCACCCTTAATCTGTGCACCACTAAGAAAAAAAAATGCCCCCGATTAAACTATGACACGATGCGGAGACTCCATCCATTACAATGTATCACGATATGAGATTAATGTGAAAAATATACATCTTAAATAAAATATGCTATTAGCTGTGTGATCTTAAGCATATGCGAACTGAATTCATTTCCACCTTTAAGGTTCAATTTTACTATCTGGAAATTAGAGACACAAATGCCCACTCCATGGGGGTTTTTATAAGGATTAAATCAGCTAACGTGTCTAAGACTATTTACCGAGAGTAGGGACTTTGTCTCTCATTCTTTGTAGCCCCAGTGTCTAGCACAGTGCCTGGAGCAAGGACGTTTTGTGGAATGAATGAATCCACCTTGACTTTGTATCTCCCCAAAGAGCAGGTCCTTGGCACATACAGGGAGGTGGGTGTCAGTAAATGGAAGCTATTATTATTGGAATTGGAAGCTACTATTAGTGGAATCAAACACGCTTGGGAACAGGATCTTTCACGAATGTCATGTAGTTAGTGACTCTCTCGCAGTTTGGGGGACTCCTCTTTAAGAAAGATGTCCGAGTGGAGGTCACAGTGGCTGGTGGAAAAGAGTATGCCGATGGCTTCGTGAACACATGAAGTTAAGTTCTGAGCAAAAAAGTTACGGGCGATGGTGGTGGCAATGGCGAATGAAATTATCAGGAAAGGAGGTGGCGGATGAAGCAAAATAGAAAAGAACACCTTCTACCATCTACAGAGCTCTTGTCTGTCCTACTCTTTCTTCAATCTTCAAAGCTCTGCAAATGTTATTTCCATTTCACAAATGGAACTCAAGCTGAGTATGGACGTGAAGGGTTTTTCTCAAAGTGAAAACTGGAAGAAGCAAAGCTAAGTAAACTACACAGTCTACCAGGCTTCAGTGTCCCGACGGGAAGCCTGAGATTCAGACAGATTAATTTCAGTTTGCATCACATACGAGGACAGGTAAACACGAGAAAGGTGGTGAAAACAGCTGTGAGCGTGGTGAGATTGTGGGCGATGAGAAAATTGTAAAGAGCGTTGATATTATCTTTTCAAGAATAATTCTGGCAATGTAGGGAACGGGGCTGAAATGAAACCAAACGCCTCTTGCAGCTGCAGTCTCCCCGCGGAGGACCCACTTAGCCATCAAGACCGAGGTTAGGCCGGAATCCGGCACGCGCTCCGTCCGCCCGGGCTCACTGACAGGACAGGGAGTCACTGCGACTTTCGACGCACATCTCCGCGTTTCCAACCGGCCTCCGCGTCCGCTCGCGGACCGCCAACCACCCAACGTCTCCCACGGGCAACGAGCACCGCCTACTGGCCGTCAGCCTCTCGGCGGCCTGGCCCCGCCCCGAGCGAACTGCGCATGCTCCCCACTCCTCTTCGCCCTTCAGGCTTCTCGCGACAGCCACCCAGCGGCGGCCTGAATCTCGCGATAAAGGCTTATTGTCTCGCGGGACCGCGGCTGGCAGACGGGCTCTCAGTTGGCCCGGGCCGGAGGAGAGGAGTTGCATGTGTAGCTTCAGCTGGCGGTAGTGGCGGGAGCGGAGGTGGCGGCGGAGACCGCCTGGGTAACGACCCCTCTTGCTTCTCCCGCTTCCGAGAAGCTCGTAGAGAGCGTGGGGAAAGCTGAGGTGCTCCCCGGCGGAAGGGGGCCGGGCCGGGCTTCTCCACCTCCCCGCCCACATGGGCCCCTCTGGTGTCCCCGGGATTGCCCCTTCGCCACAGGTCTCTCCCCTCCCACCTGGCCGCCCTTGTCGCTTCAGTGCTCTTCTGTTCTGCTCCTTCCCGGTTCTTCTGCCCCATTTTCTCTCCTCAGACTCTGGTCTTCCCGCCCCCTTCCCATCCCATCCCCTTTCCTGACTCCTCAGTGTCCCTCCCTTGGCTTTTAGCTGCCCCCACACCCTGCCCTCTGGCACCCTCGGTGACCCACCCATTCCAGCCTGCTTTCTTCTAGCTGCTTCGTGGTGTTTATTGCTGCAGTTTGCATCCCTTCCACCTCACCCCAGACCTTTAGCCCTGTCTCTAAGCCGTTCTCTCCATCCTTATTTCCCATTGCTTCCTCTTTCACTAGTGCCCCGCGCCCCACGTTCTTCATGGTCTCACTGTCACTTGCTTCCCTGTAGATCTGGTAACTAGCGTGCCCAGAATTGCTCATATTTTATGAATCCTAATGGCAGCTTGTGTCTTTCACTTAACACAGAAATTAAAGAGAGTTGGGGCGGAGGAATTTCAGGTGGAAGGAGGCAAGACTACACCTGAACACTGCTGCTCTGGACTCCTGGTCTGACACGGTGAAGATGTGTTATTTTCCTTGCTTGCAGGTTTGTGAGATGGCTGCTGACATTTCTGAATCCGGTGGGCATGATTGCAAAGGCGACCCGAGGAGCAATACCAAGTTAGATGCAGATTACCCGCTCCGAGTCCTTTACTGTGGAGGCAAGTGTTGGAAGGCAGACAATGGCTTTTTACTTACTGTATTTTTATGCATTTTGATAATAGTTTCACATTTGGTCCTAGAAATCCCTTTTTCATCTGTCTTTGTCATTTGGTGACTCCTTAATTTGGGGCGGGGCGGGGGGTGGGTGACATTTGGTCCTAGAAATCCCTTTTTCATCTGTCTTCGTCATTTGGTGAATCCTTAATTTGGGGCGGGGGGAGGCAGGTGAGAGACTGGTGAAGAGGAGACGTGGATTAACAGAATCCCCCCCAACCCCTGTGACTTCATAAGGCTGATTGAGTTTTGTTATGATATTGGTCTTACTTGGTTATGTTGCTTGACTTTGGAATCATGGACCAGGGTTTGCATCCCGACTCCAGCATTACCAGCTCTGTGACTTTGGGCAAGTTACCTAATTTCACTAAGGGTTAGAGGTTTGTTTCTTAAGGTCTGAAAAATGAAGACGATGATTGCATCTTAAGTCAGATGATCCACGTTAAGCTTCTGGTACAGCAGCTAACACAAGAACATAGTACAATAAGTGCTAACTAATTATTACTATTAGAAAAGTATGCTAGTTTACTGTGGTTTGTTCTTGTTTATCGGATGTAATTAAGAGCTGTTTTTCTTTGTACCCTGTTTCAGCGAATCTAAGAATCCTTATTTTATGATACACCATTATTTTAGGATCCACCAAGAAAGAAAAAATGGTCAGATTGATATGCTATAAGATCGTTATAAAAATTAAAAAAAAACAAAACAGAATTGGTGAAATACAGTATATGAAAACCATCCGGTGGAATCGCTTATGTCTCTCAGCTGAGGTGGCTTTTGAACAACTGCACTAAAATATAAAATCCACCCCAGTGATAATTTATGTTGACCAGAGGTCCCTAACCTTTTTGAGAATGGTTTGTTTTCATTTCCCTCCCTAGTTTGTATTGATATTCCAGGCAGGGGGACAGGGTTACTCTTTCCTCAGGGAGTTTAAGGTCTAGTTGTAGGAAAGCACTTAGGGAATATTAAATGCTAAATTAAATGATACTGTAACTATGAATTTGGAGTTCAGGAAAGGGAGCGGTCTTTGTTCAGAGGGAGCTAGGGACGTTTCCAAGGAAGTGAGAAACATAAGGTAATAGGTAGGATTTGCAAGGAAAGGTGAAAGAATTCATAAGAACAGTATGGTGGCAAGATTTAATATGCTATCTTTAGGGGAGAGGAAAAACAAAGAGCTGATTGGAGCAGAATGCTGGTTGGAGTACAATGAGAAACAAGGGCAGCTAGGATGGGGGTCATTTCTGGGGAGACATTTCATCTTCAGGTTAGAGACTTCAGACTCTGAAGCCAATCTGAATTTGAGTCATACTTTAGCCATTTACTCACTGTGTGACCATGGCCAGTTCCTTCATCTATAAAATGGATAACAGTAGAGCCTACTACCGAGGGCTTTTGAGAAGAAAAAATGGAATATACTCCCAACCGCTCCACCTCCTAATACCATCATTTTAGATGCTGGGATTTCAACATAGAAGTTTTGAGGGGCACTGAGCATAGAAGGTTTCATGGATGATGATACTCTGTTCTTCATACTGCATCACATCAGCAGTGTGACGTAGTGTCAGGTTCCACAATTAGTGACGTGAAGTTTGAAGGTGACTGCTGGATCTTTGCGTTGAAAAGTATAGTTTACAAATAGTAATCTGTGGAGGCAAATTGATTTTAAAAGCAAATATCAGCGAACTCAGAAGAATCGTTCAAATATTTTCATTGTATTAGAATTTTGCCGAACTGAATATTTTTTTAAAATGGTATACAGTTTTATAGCTTTAATATTTGCTATAATGGTATTTAACCTATAATTGCATACTGACAATATGGCTGAATATCTGTACCTACTATTTGAACTTGAACTGTGAGGGTTATAGAGCTCTGTTTAGCCAGGGAGAGTTTTAGCAGAAGGAACTCTAAACTTGAAATCAAGAGATGCTAGATTCCAGTTTTCTTCAGCCACAAACCACCTTTGTCATCAGATGAACTATTTAACCTTTTCTAGAGCTTCATCTATAACACAGTGATGATGGGTTCAGAAGGCAGGCCAGTCATCTGGCTGGCACATAGCTACGTTGCCTGTATATGTTGTGAAACCTCATTTAGTGGTTAAGGGCCTGAGCTTCAGAAACAGACCAGGGTTCAGATCCCGTTCCGCTGACCAGATAGATTAATGTGGGTTACCTGTGCTGAGTCTCATTTTTTAATTTATCGAACAGATATGGTAATTCTTACCTCATAGGGTCATAATGATTAAACATAATAATACATAAAGAGCACAGCAAAGTGCCCGGCACATAATAGGTGCCCAGTACATGGTCATTGCTGTTATTAGTAATGCTGTACCATTCCACCTCTCCCGCCCAAACCTCAAGATGTTGGGCACATTGAACTACTCCATTCTTCACCTTAAAAATAAAAACAAAATAAGCAATTGACCCAGTAATAGAATTATAGTTAAAATCGGGAAAGCCTTTGAGTTCCTCTAGTCCCTTAGGCTGTGCGGGCTATACAATGACAAGATTGAATCAGCCAGCGTGCCTTTTAGCTTTACAATTTCATGATCTTATGTAGCATAATATGAAAAAGGAAAGGAAAAGCATACTGCAGGGAAATGGTAGCAGAAATGCTACTGAAGTTTATAAATGTGTTACTATGAGTAAAAAGAAGTAGTGGCTGTTTTGATAAAGCTATCAAAAATAATAATCAGTTCCATTCAAGCTTTGTCATATGGGGAATTGTTCCCACCTTATCTTAGTTTCAGACTCTCTGAAGTGGTTATGGTAAAACCCTAAGATATGTAAGGTAGTATAGTCGGATGTCCCATCAACCCAAGGAGACATTCTTTTTTAGATTAAAAAAATCAAGGTAATACTTCTATTAACCACATGCCTTTTACCTCAAAAACAAAAACAAATAAAAAAAAAATGGTGGGTAGCATCTGAAAGGTAGTATAGAAACGGTAAAAGCATTTTGTCAAATTTAAAAGTTATGATGAGAGCTGTGTGTATATATTTAAATTTTTAAATCCTTTTTTTCTCTCTCCATTTCCCCAGTCTGTTCATTACCAACAGAGGTAAGTTTTAAAGTTCTTTTTTAACTTCCGCATTGGAGGTCGTTGATTTTAGAGCTAACTCGAGAACTTTGTTTTCTTATTTTTCATTTTCTGTCATTTGATAGTAGAGTTTCAGCCCTTTTACAGAGAACTGTGGTTTAGAATAATTCAATGGTTTTTTTAAATTGTTTTCTTTAGACTTTGAGTCATATGTGTATGTCATTTGCATGTTGCTATACAGTTTGGATTTTTGTATGGAACCCAAGAGTAGTCAGCTAATAAAACAAGAATAACCTTAAAGCCAAAATTTAATGACTAAGCAGAGGAGAGAAAGCAGAAATTATGCATAAGACTTCTGTTACGAAGCTTCTAAGCCAGGCTCTATGGGCAAGTCATGAAATTAATGAGAGCAAGAAGTAGACATGCTCGTTTTTGTCTGTTTGCTCCTTCTTCTAAGGCCATTCTGTTTGATGGAGAGGAAATAAATTATTATAGTAAGGAACTGCCTAATTCTTTTTAATATCTAATTTTTTATGGGGTGTTTCCTGGTTGAATACAGATATCTTGTGGATAAGACGTCAGGTGGGAGTAGTTAGTTTTATCATTTTTTATGTAGCAAGTGTAGGAAATGATTTTAAATCGAAATGTATTGGTTGACTGAAAATGTTTTGTTGTGATTCAGTTTGCTCTTTTTTTTCCTTCTAGTACTGTGAATATATGCCTGATGTTGCTAAATGTAGACAGTGGTTAGAGAAGAATTTTCCAAATGAGTTTGCAAAACTTACTGTAGGTATGAACATTTTTTTTTCTTTCATCAATGCTTGTATACCTGAAACAAATGCATATAAGGCATTATTTTAAAGATATGAAAGTCCTTTAGTAGGATAATTACAGAATTATATTTATGTTTATGAACTTTAAAACTATTTTAAGTTCTTGAGTTAAAATTCCTTATATAAAATCACAAACTGCTCTATGTGTCTTCTCTCCCTGAGACAGGTTAGGTCAAAGTATCAACTTTCTCATATAAAGAAGAGTAAATGATTTAGAGGCAAATATATTTTCGCTCATTCATTCAACAGATTATTTCTTGTGAGCATGTCGTATACTAAACGTAGTTTCAGATGCTGAGGATAAAGCAGTAAACAAAAGATCTCTGGAAGTTATATTTTAGAAAGGGAGACAAACAAAATAAGTAAAATAAGACAAATGAAATAAATGTGTTAAATATTGGTAAGTAGAGAATGGGGAGATAAGAATTATTGGGGAGGGAATTTGAAATATTTAGGTAGTGACCAGGAAAGATTTTGCGGAAAAGGTGGCATTTGAACAAAGACTTACAGAAAATGAGGGAGTGAGACCTTTGGAAACCTGGGAGAAGATTCCTGGCAGAAGACACTGAGGCAAGAACTGAACAGCTTATTCAGGGAACAGCAAGGTGGCTTTTCTGTCTTGAGCTTATCGGAGGAGGGGGAGAAGGATAGAAGGTGAAGTCAGAGAAGTAATGGAGCACCACATCTTTAAGGCCACATCTTGGCTTTTACTCTGAGTGAGGGAAACTATTGGAGGGTTTTGAGCAGAAGAGTGATGAGGTCTGACTTTGTTTCAATAGCATCTCTTTGGCTGCTGTGTTAAGATAGACTGAAAAGGGGCATAGGCAGCAAAGCAGACCGGACAGGAGGCCCCTGCAGTAATCCGTTCAGGTGATGATGACGACCCGGACCAGGCTGATAGCAGTGGGGTGGTGAAAAGTGGTCAGGTTCTGGATATGTTTTGAAGGTGGAGCTGTCAGTGGTTGGATGAGAAGCCTCAAGTCTGGTGTTACAGTCAGTCTACATGTTTGGCTGTGAACATGACCTGTCTAGGGCATGATGCGATTTGAGGAGGGAGAGAGAAGCTCTTATTTAGGACCAGACTTCCCGCTAACTAGATTAGCATGTTTAGAAGCTAAACACTCAGAGTCACTATGAGTGTTTCATGCTCCTCTCATGTAGCTAAAACTCATAATCCTCACATATCAAAGACCTTTTTTTGCCTTCTGTCACCATATACTTAGCATAACGACTTCAGAATTAGGCTTGATAGGAATCTAGTACTATGATCATTTGCTTTATAAATATCATGCTCAGTTATTGGCTAAATACCTTATTTGTGTATGAGGTGCATCAAAGGTGATGTTTTAATATTAGTATGAAATGATGTTAATGCTTTTGGATTTTGTTTTTATGTCTAGAAAATTCACCCAAACAAGAAGCTGGAATTAGTGAGGGTCAAGGAACAGCAGGGGAAGAGGAAGAAAAGAAAAAACAAAAGAGAGGTGAGACCTAAATTCATGATTTGATTTACACAAACCTACCTTCCCTCTGCCCGAAAAACTAAGTAACGAAAGCATTCCCAAAGTGAGTCACATCTACCTGTTACTGTAATTCCATGTGTATATCACCCAGAGGGATACAGAATCATATTCTCAGGATAGTTGGATGTGATATGATTTGGGCTTTATCAGTAAATTTGACCGAAGAAAGCATGCTTTATTTGCTGTATATGTACTTAAAAAGCAACCAGCCAACTCGTTTATGATTTGAAAACTTTGTTACCTTTTTAGAATACTTGTATATTCTGTTTAATTAGAGAGGACGTTTATATAAGTTTTTACTCTCTGATTACTTCTGACAGTTGAATTTCTCCTAAAACTACTTTCTCATGCTCTGGATCGTGTCCCTATCTGTTTTTTCTTCCTTGATTTTTCTCCCCGATGACGAAAATTAGCTCATAAATATTTTCAGGACTTTGCATCTTCGAAAAAAATTCCCCAAGAGCCTGTATCTTTCTTTGCCTTATCCCCCTATTTCCCTTCATCAAGGCAAGTGTAGTTCTCAACTATAATGCTTTTTCTTATCTCTGAACTTATTTCCTTTTCCTGAAATATCCTTTCTTAAACCTGTCCAGCCTATCTCCCTTCACCTGGACAATTCCTTGTTCTGCAAGAGCTTAGATGTCACTTCCTCTAGGAAACCTGTTCTGTCATTCAGAACCAGAGTGAGCCGTTCCTCTGCAGGGCTGTGATAGCGCTATATTCATGGTTTCTACTGTAGTACACATCAGGTTGCTGTAATCACTTAACCTTTTCTGTCTCCCTTCGCTGGACCGGAATCCCTGAAGGGCAGGGACTATGTTCTGTTCTGCTCATCTTTGTGTCCTCAGCCCTTGGCTCGGTGCTTGGCACAGATTACTTAAATATTTATTGAATGAATACTCATGCATGTGTTTATTAATTTTGTATTAGAAAAACTTTAGAAATTACTATTTGGTACTTTTAAAAATTAAAGACAGTATTCTCTATGTTAAAAACAAAATAATTAATGCCGAGCTCTTTCCTAAAAAAAAGGTGGAAGGGGTCAAATAAAACAAAAAAAGAAGACCGTACCACAGAAGGTTACGATAGCTAAAATTCCCAGAGCGAAGAAGAAATACGTAACGAGAGTGTGTGGCCTTGCAACTTTCGGTGAGTTTAAGCTTAAGTACGTTTAAAGTGTGCGAACTATTTTCTCGCCCCTGTGTGCACTCACATGCGCGCGCGCTCGCTCTCTCTCTCAATCTGGTATCGTGAAAATTTCACAGGTCTATTTTTTGCTAAGAAAATATAAAATGAAATTTTGTACTTCTTACTATAGCTTCAGAATCAAATTTTGAAGAAATTTTCAGATCTTTTCAGAGGGGACTGGTTTAGCTTTTTCCTTTCCAGAATTCCTGCTTGGACACATTTTATGTAATAAAATGAATAAGGATGGCTAAATAGGGCTCCCTTTGAAGGCTGCCAGTGCTGTTCCTCTGTCCCTGCAGGCTTGGTGGCAAAGGGTTGTAGAACGGCTTGTCCCCTCTGGGAGTGACAGTGGAAGGTGAGGGAAGGTAGGTAGTGGCAGAATGTCCCGCTTCAGAGCTCTTTCTGTTCCTGGGGGCCTTGAATGAGTAGTGAAATGGGGGTGAAATTGTAAACTGAGGTCCCTTCATGTGACAACACAGATTGAAAAACAGTCACTGAGTATTAGGTTTGTTTCTCTGCTCTGAATTATCCTTTTATAAAAAGGGATAAACACATGAACTTCATCATACTTGAAAGTGTGTGTATGTAATGTTGGAGTTAATGTGTTCCTGGATTTATTTTGGTCTTGCTGTATGAGTTATGAATAGTATGGATGATGCTTTTTTATGTACTAAGGCTTTATTTGCTCTTGAAAATATTAGTTTAATTGTTAAGATTACTGCCTGTGGTAGTCTGTAATTATTGCTCTGAGAGGAATGTGAAATCCATGAATACAGTCTGTTTTTATGAATTTGAAATGCAAATTAAATTTCAAAATGAAAAAAATATCTTTGAGATACAATTTCAATTATAGTCTTGCTTTTTTTTTTTTAAATAACAGAAATCGATCTTAAAGAAGCACAAAGATTTTTTGCTCAAAAATTCTCCTGTGGTGCCTCAGTCACAGGGGAGGACGAAATCATCATTCAGGGGGACTTTACAGATGACATAATTGATGTCATTCAGGAAAAATGGCCAGAGGTGAGTATATGGAACATACGCATCTATAGAAATAAGTTCTTGAAGCAAGTTGCTTTTCACAACTCATGAAATGTAATTATGTGTTTTCTAGGTGGATGATGATAGCATCGAAGATCTTGGAGAAGTGAAGAAGTGATTTTGAAAATTTGTCTGTATTTAATGGTCTGAACTGAGTTGATATGGCCAAGGGGGAGAGGCCTTTTGAAAAGATATATATTTATCCTACAGTAAAACTGTAGACTACCCTCGCCCTTGGCATTTTCACTGTTCTGTACAAGGCTGCTTGTTTTTTTTATTGCCAAAGTCTAATGAATAGGGGAGACTGTCATGCTTATGCATGAAATAGAATTTAGTCAAATAAAAATTTTTGGTCACTTGGTACTGACTTCTCTTTCTCCCTTTTTAACTTTTTATTTTTGAAAAAACACTGTAGACGTTTTTGTGGAACGCTTATCTGTCGATTATTTTTAAATGGCCATGATTTAATCAAATCATGATATTTTTTTTTTTTTTTGAATTTTTTAAGCTGAGTAATATTTTAAAGAATTTGAATTTGGCTTCATCCCCAGTAATAAGTATCTCCTTGCTTCTTTGGTGTGATAGTTCTGAGATGCTGCACATCTAATAGATTCGTGGTTGGATTGGCTTCATTGTTACCATCCATGTGGGCACGTCACCACACTGTCACCACACTGTCGGTAGGAGTTGTTCGAGCTCTTCTGAAGATTATTTGTAAAGTATATTAAAAGCCTTAAAACCATCTGCACTGTTTGACCCAGTAAGCCGCTTCCTTGACATTATCCCGAAGATAGAAGTCTTGCGTTCATCATGATGTTACTCATGTTATCAAAAAATTACATACAAATGATACACATGAACAATTGGGAGATTGTTAAAGAAATGATGTTGCATCACATGGTCGACGACTAGGTATATATTTTAAAACATTTTCCAAGAATACTTGGAAAGAAATTGAATGACGTTAACTGGGGTGCAGACTCCAATTCCATTTTATATTATCATCATTATTGTTTTGAGTGGAAGGCCACTCAGGCTTAGAGTTCTTGTTCCGGCTACAAATTATGTGTGTAAAATTCTGCTAACCAGTTGAAAATAATATAAACCATGTTCAATATATTGTCTGGGAAATAACTGAAATGTGTTTTTCTCAGAAGAGAAACAGTGACAATTTTAACGAATGCACTAAATGAATTTAAACTTTGTTTTTATAAAGGTCTTAAGTCAGGTGCTACAAATTGAAAAGATTCATGGTATTTTAATTGCTTGTAGATACCTTTAAGAAATTTAGAACCTATTGTTTACTGCCATGCAAATTATAATCTTGAATGAATGGTTTTTAAAAAATAATTAAAATCTTAAAATGTGTAGTAAAGATGTAAATTTAAAAAATGAAATTCTGCATTAACTGAGTTTTACTAAATACAATTATCTAATGAAGCAAATTTAGCCACCAAGATCATTTGGTATGTGTTATGTACGCCGTTGGTGCTGGAAGATGTCTGTGTGCCTGTATCAACACGTGACTTCATGTAAAGATTCTCAATGTTCACAGTTCTTGGCAAGTGCAGTAGATCTTACTGCAGGAAAATGCAGAATTAAAATTGTCCTTGTGTATAACATGCGAATCTTTTTCTTTGACCTGAATTTAAAATGCAGCATAGTTTTAATCTCATGAAAATATAATAGAAAAAGGATCAACTTTAATTCATACATTCTCTTTGTATATTTTGGAATGTTTTCATAGTATTTTTAGCAAAAAATAATGCTAACCTTTAAACTACTTTAGCTCATAATGTATATAAGAGATTTGCCATGATTAAGCTGGCAATTTCAAATGCAAATACAGTTTTGATATGAATTTTATTCATTTAAAAAATAGATGTTGACAGTGATTTTAAATTTCTTTTTAGTTATCACATAGAAACCTCAGTAAGTCAGCTGTTGCTTAAGATATAGTCTGTGGTAGCTTTCTTGCCGTTAGTTTAAAAATTTGATAAATTACTATTATAAAGATGAATTTTTACCTTTTAGATCCTGTCTTTGTTGTTTACTAAATTCCTTTACTTAGGAAATAAGATAGGGAGACTGGAATGAGTCCATTTAGCCCATTACTTTGAATTAGGGTGTGTGTAAAATCAGATGCAGTATAATTCTTACAGCTTTTATAAAACATCTATTTAAAAAAGATCTCTTTTTAAAGTTTTTTGTTTTAAAGAAAACCTATGGAAATGAACTTAAAATACTGAGATTTTTTGATTTGCAACTAGTCATAATACTCTTGCCACGTTCATTAATATTTACCAACCATAACCTCATTGAAATTGACATTCAGTCACAATCTTTTTCATCTCTCATTGCGACCCCAAGACACTACATAGTCATCTACTGATGGGCTGTTTTTAAAAACTAGTCAGAATTTGCTTGCTTGATTTTAAATTCTAAGACATCGTCTTGTTGGGTCTCCTAAACATAAGGCTATCCCCTAAGGAGGCAAAGGTCGCCCAAATCGGTAAAGCTTGAAAACAAGAAATTTTATTTTTTCCATTTTCGATTTTGTGAACATGGGCATACTTTGCTAATTCATAGTCAAAATGTAAAATTGCAATACCCTGACTATTTGGTCTTGTATCTTGCTGGTAATGCCATCTTATGGGTTAAGCAGTAGGGATGGGTGAACGTGGGTTAAATGTGATAATGTTTTTCATAGTCTAGTTCCTGTATAACAAAGAGGAAAAGGGAATAAGGGGTGACTGTGAAAACACATGTTAAAGCGTATAGGTTCAACCCAGAATGTGGTAAATTTTGCCATGGTGACGTTCCAAGGTTCTCGTTGCTATTGAAGAGCTACATCACGCGTACAAAAATAGCTTTATTTTTATCTGATTCTTAGTTTCCGAGCTGTCTGCTAGGATGGCCAGCAACTTAACCACCAGGGCTGGCGTCTGCCTTCATCCATCCAACCATTCGAATGCCAGGTACCGTTCTCAGTGCCGGGTGTAGAGGGCGGCTAACGAGACTGAGCTCACACTTCTGTAGGCAAGTAAGTGAGCAGCTCGAGTGTCAAAACCCGGGGCGACGGGGACAGAGACATCCTTCAATTTACTTCATCATTCACTGCGGACTGGAAAAGAACCGGTACTTCGCGGCCCGTAGGCAATGGATTTTATGTTCTCAGTTAAACCATTCGCGCGCC